CTCTTCCCCATTTGCATCATTAAAACAAAAACTCTTTTTCTTAAGAAAATTTCAAAACACTATAACATTACTTAAATCTTTTTTCAAGATAAAAAACACTACCAATCCAAACCTTTTTGCCTTTGGGCCCTTTTTCTTTGAAAACCTTTTTCAGGTAATAACATGTTAATTCCTTTCTACTACAATGCGTGAGTCTCCAAATATCGAGCTACGGTAGAATGTGAAATTAGCATTGTTCATGAAAAACATATAACAAACAAATTTTTTTGAGGTGAACTACGAGTGTCTTGATCTCTCATTGCACGAAGAGGGTACGGTACGTAGGCACAAAGGTTCGCAACCGAGGCAAGCACGACAAATAAAACCTTTTTATTTGTATACACACTTTGCATACATGCATTTTCTCTTAGCTAGTAAGCTTTAGATAAAACACACCTTTTTATTAAAACAACAAGAGGGGATCCCATGGAGTACCACAAACTTGAGGGGTGCTAATACCTTCTTCTTGCGTAATCGACTCCTGTACCCGATCTCTCGGTCATAAGATCATGACTTCTCCTTTCTCAGGTTTTTCTTCGATGATTTTACTTTCCCTTATGTGGGATAAATAAATACTCGATGACGACTTCATCGATTTTCTCTCGATGATTTTCTGTCGGTTCCTTCTGAGAGGTAGCGTGCCACGTTTGCTTCGAGCCATGTGCTATCATAAAGGTGTAATTATGGTAAGTCTAGGGACTAGGTAATAATGATGATGACCCTTAGGTTCCCATAGGCGTGTGCCCGCTCACGCGCTAGTAAAGTCTATCTATAAAAGGGAGAGAGGAAGCTTCGTTTGCATTTTTCGCTTGCTCTTTCCCCGCTCGTTTTTGGTTCTTGCACGACACCGTCGTTTTATGCTGAAGCTTTCACCCTTTCCACCGTTCACCTCCATAATTTTTTACTGTTCTGCCACTAGTCTTCCTTAACCTGGTAAGTTTCATGTTTTTCTTTTGTTTTTGCCAAAATGTTCCCTGTTTTAGGTTAGATTTTGGTTGTGATCATAAAGATGCATGCAGTTAGGGGTAGATTAGCTTTAGATTAGATGACTCTTGGTGGTTTCATCGCTTGGGAGTGTAGGCTCCGCCGTGGGGATGTTTGGTATTTCCTCGGTGGTAGAGTCGGTAGCGGTGGTTTATGATGAATTTTCTAGCGAAATTGGACCGTTTCCTAGGTTTTTGCTTCGAACTACCTGAGTTTCTGATGTGTCTTTGGGCGAGGTCCAAGATCGTTTGTCAGGGAAGGAATTTACTTATGTGAGCTAGGGTTTATCCTGGCGGTCGGGCGCCTAACACGTTAGAGGGGATTGTCCTCGTTTTGCTTTGTGCTGTTTTGAGTGAGGGCTCTAGTCGGGGACAAGGTCCTCATTCACGCCCTTTCACTTGATTAACAGTGGAATGATGGATTTGATTCGATGTCGAATTCACGTTTGCCCCCTGCTTTTCAGGTATAATGGCCAGTAGTACCAAAGATGAACTTATGAGCGAGCACAGTGATTCCGTAGCAAGTTCGTACAAGGGTACGTCAATCGAGGAGAGTATGTTAGGGGCGCGTGATCCCGAGCTGGGCGTACCCAGGCATGATACAGATGTGTAGGGTGAGCCCACGACTCTCGAGGATCCTTTAGCCTGGGTTACGCTGGGTCCTATGGAGATCGTTTCCCACTTTACTGAGCACCTGGATAAGTGGGTGATTTACACCACCAAGAAAGATCATCGTATATGTTTGAAGTTTGATGCGAACCATATTCCTGTGTATGAGACTTTCTTCCGGGAGTTAGGTCTTCGACTTCCTTTCTCTGATTTTCATGTGGCCATTTTTCGGCATCTTCGTCTTGCTCCCTTCCAACTACATCCCAATTTGATTGCCTTCCTACAGGCTTTTGAGATAGTGTGCGATTATCTGAAGATAGGGGACACTGTTCCTTTGTTCTTTTACTGCTTCCACCTCCAGCGGGGACATTTAGGTAAATGGTGAGGATGTGTCTCCTTAAAACAAGCTAACGAGAAGCTGTTCGAGGCTTACCCCGAGTCTGTCCAAAATTTTAAGGAAAGATATATGTTAGTCTAGCCAGTGTTAGAGAGGGCATTGTTGAATGTTTTTAGGAGCGTCCCACTGGTCGACGAGGTCAGGGGATCCATGTTGAACGAGGAAGGGAACCCAGTGGTGAAGCTGGTTATGAAGTTCAATTTCCACTGGTCGAGTAAACATTTTGTTCATAGGACCGACCATTATATTTGGGAAAAGGACCAGTTGAGTCCCGAGAACTAGGACAACCATGACCTATCTTGATAATGGGCCGCGAGGCTCGTCATTGTTACTTGCCTCAGGAGATGGTGGCGGGGAATGACAGTTCCTTCCTCTTCGGGGGCTGTTGTCCCGGTGGGGAGATGTGCTTCTTCGTTGTTTCCTTGGCTTGGGCGACAATGAATAGTCGCGGTCAAGTCGGCGATCGCTCATTGTCTTCTTGGAAGATGGGGATCCTTGATCTTTTCGGGGAGGTATGCGGCCGTTTTTCTTGAGGAAAGAAACACCTTGCGTCTCCCTTCTTGTTGGACGACCATAATTTGGTAAAGATAGGCTCAGGGAGTCACATCGTCGGTGTCTCCAAGGAGGAGACTTTGATTATATTTTTCCCCAGGCCCTGATCCTCTTGCTCTGCTGCAGGATTAGGGCATTAGTTTGGTTGAGGGCAGCAAGCAATGCTGCCATGGTCGGATCGCCATTTTATGGAATAGGAACTGGTTACAGGATTTTTGGCAGCTCCTTGGTGGGGTTCTTGGACCTCTGCTCATCCAAGAACGGGAATTATCGCACTCAATATTGACTGAATCTAGGGGTGTTGTTCATCTATCTCTGACGTCAAGGGCATCCTCGAGATGAAGAGGCTCTTGGCTTCCGCCTGTCTTGTGGATGGGAGAGAGTACAATCTTTCTAGAGAGGTGGTGGTCATCATGGTCGACCATGTCTGAAGTAGTGAAGGTATCTCTGGTCTTCGGTTTTGAGGAAAAGGAAAACGGGGAAGATAATTTCCCACAGACGGTGTCACTGATCTTACCGGTTGATCAGAATCTGAAAGTGGATCGAAGGATGACATCTGCTTGATTGGAAAGTTGATAAGAGGACGGGGTGTACATGCAAGGCACTCTGACGATCAAGTAGGAATGAGTGCAAAGAGATACAAGAAAGATATTAGGGTTTTGGGTGTGAATATTAGATACCTGGCCTTTACAAGTGTGATGGTTTATATAATTCCTCCGACGCTTGGCCATTGGTCTCTATTTTTGGGTCTAGATATGCGGGTCCACAAAATAGGTAACTGCCAGGACTCTGTCAAAACAGGCAGTCGTGCCCGTAACTAGTCACTGCGTCGAGCAAGGATGAGCTGACGGGTAGAAGCGTTTATGAGTGTTTCTTGAGTGTCTGCTCTTTGTGCGTTGAGCAGACTGAGAGGTGGTTGCCTGCATGGGTAGGTGTGCGTTTCGGGCATCGTTGGTCTTGCCACTTCGAGGGCGCAGTTGATCAGAGATGCTGAGCCAACGTTGTTGAACCATGCCAAAAGTAGAAGCGGATTGAGCTAATTCTAGTCATTGAGTCAGTGCAAGACAAGTTTCTTAGTAATGTATTTAATAAAATTGATAATCTTATATGTGTATATAATAATAAAAATAAAAATTTACAAATATATATTGTACATATATAAGGCAAAGTGGATATTAAGATATCCGTACCCACATCTATACCCATTTATTTTCGTGGATAATTATCCGTATTCATATCCATATATATTTTACGGATTTTTACCCTATCTATTATAGGTGATTTTTGAATATATCTCCTGAAGATTGATACAATTGCAATCCCTAATTATACCAAATTTCTAAATCCAAGTTTAATAACTCTGCCAAACATATAAATTTAATATTTTCATTGAAACTAGGGTAGAAATCTATGTTGGTTCATTAGCTTTGGAGTATTCGATAAGCCTTTCTTATTTAGGTGCCTACAATAAATACGTATACACACTTAATTACATACATAGTTTTTTTATATTATTAATTTTACCAACATTCAATTACTTTAGTAGTTATCCATATCTCTTAATATTAAATAATTTATATTCTATACATATTTGAATGTGATAATACAGTGACACATTTAATAAAACTTTCAAAATTTAATTATTCAATAAACTTTTTACTATAATTTTTAATTAAAAAATAAGTTTAATAATTATGCACTAACATATATTTCATCACACCTATTAATAAATTTTATTTCAAAGATTAAAATTAAAATTAAAATTTTAAAAGTTAATACTAGTAATAATTAACATTATAAAACATCAGTGCATATGAATAGAATTTTAAAATTTAAGGAAAAGTATTAACTCCTTTACAAAATTATAATATGAAAACCATAAATTCACATTCAAAGCAAATAAAAATTATAATATTAAAAATATAATTTCGAGATCTAGGTTTAACGATTGAGATCATCCTGTGGCATATATGTGGTCAATTTTGACTGCTGCATAGAATTCATTTCCCATACATTCACCCTAATTTTTTAGAACATTTTATTTTAAAGAAAATAAAAATATACTATAATTGGAACATTTTATATTTTATATTTTTCTATATAATTGGGATATAAAAAAATATATATCATTGGAATATTCGTATGAGCTTCTTCTCAATCGTCTTTATCTCATACGCTGAAAATATCTCTCTCTCTCTCTCTCTCTCTCTCTCTCTCTCTCTCTCTCAATTCAGATCCTCTGAACTGAACCAGTTTCTGCTTCTACCTCATCCCAGTTCATTGTTCTCGCCCACCAATTTTGGACTTTTCGCTCTGTTTGCTGAATTTTGAACTGTTTCCGTGATTTTCGATTTAGGTTTTCTAGTAAACCCTACTTGCTGTGTTTGATCTTTCCCCACATAGAAAGAAAGAAGAACAAGATGCAGAAAGATCAACTCAAAAAGGTTGCTTCTCTATTCTGGCTTAAAAATTGCCCCTTTTTATGTTTAGGGTTTGTTACTGTATTTTGAACTCACACGGAACTGGAAGAAAATCTAAAATTAGAAATTGGGGTGGCAGAAAAAGAAGAAAATTAGGTTTATTTAGTTTTGAAAAAGGTTTTGGATTTAAGGGTTAAAAACTTTGAGTACGATGTTGGTTATTGTTGTAAAAATTGTTGCTTTATGTTTTTATAGTTCTTCCTGGGTATGAAGGTGAGGGTTTTCTGCTTCGTAGTTTATGTGATTTTAGTTTAGAGGTTCTAGTTTTAATTGAGTATCCGTTTTCACTGTTGGGTTGATTTAATGGTGGGTGTTTATGGCTGGATATTGATTAGTGACCATTAACTTTCTATTTGCATTTCATTATTGATTCTTTTGTGTTAGTTAGAGTTTTTTAATATAGTTTTAGAGTCCATTTGAGTCTATTTATTTATGTATAATAAGATTATTTTAATGTTTTAGAGTCCTAATATTTTAGTTTCACATAGCTTGACACAATGCGGTTTAACCATTATACACTATAATGGTTTACCGGTTAAACCGCACTGTGTCAAGCTAAGTTATGTGAAACGGTTGATTTATGCTACTTTTGTATTTAGTTATGTTGGTTTGTACTATTTTTTTTGTATAGCGATTGTGGTTATTTTGTAGTTTTGCTAAAGAGTTGTATGGAACATAATATTTGGAATGATTTATTGATGTGCAGGATATTAAAGAGGTAAAGTTTTTCACTGAGTACGGAGAAGCCAACAGATACAAAATTCTGGAAGTGATTGGTAAGGGCAGCTACGGAGTTGTTTGTGCAGCAATTGACACACACACTGGTGGAAAAGTTGCAATCAAGAAGATTCATGATGTTTTTGAACATAACTGCGATGCCATTAGAATCCTCAGGGAAGTCAAGTTGCTAAGACTTTTAAGACACCCTGATATTGTTGAGATTAAGCGGATTATGTTGCCGCCTTCAAAGAGGGAATTTAAAGATATTTATGTTGTATTTGAGCTCATGGAGTCTGATCTCCATCAAGTCATCAAAGCTAACGATGACTTGACCCGTGAACACCAGCAGTTTTTTCTTTATCAGATGCTTCGGGCTTTGAAGTTTATGCATACAGGTCTTAACTCTCACTTTTGGCCTTCATGTGCATTTACACTTATGTCGTATTTCCATTAAACGTGGCGCTTAATTGCTTCTCCATGATTTTATGTACTGTTGCAGCAAATGTATATCATAGAGACCTTAAGCCGAAGAATATACTGGCAAATGCAAACTGCAAACTCAAAGTCTGTGATTTTGGACTTGCTCGAGTTGCATTCAATGATACCCCAACAACAACTTTTTGGACGGTAATGTAGTCTATTCGATTTGAATTTCTAATAGAGCATGTGAAAGGTATGACTGTTTCTGTATGAAGTTTAGGTTTTTCAAGCTCCCTTTTGGTTCAAATTTCAGGATTATGTTGCTACAAGATGGTATAGAGCCCCTGAGCTATGCGGCTCTTTCTTTGCTAAGGTATAGTTTGGTTAAATTTTTTTGTGACAATAATTTTTATACGTCATTTTCCCCTTCTCCGACAAACTATTTTCTCGACTTTATTATTACCAATCCAAGTTTGAACAAATAGTAACAGTTTTCTTGATTTTTTTCCCATTGTATACCATATTAATTGGCTTTCTGTAACCAGTATGTTTTCCGAGGTTTGAGTTTTTGTTTTATTGTGCTTGAATTGTCGAATGCCCTAAAACTTTAATTTGAAATCAGTGTTGTCTATGGCGGATTGCGGGAAAATGCGGGCGAGCCAAAAATCCGCCATAAAAATATGGCGGATGGCAGAACGGAAAATTGCGGAAGCATGGCGGACAAACAAAAAACATTATTTATACTCACAAAAAAACTGTAATAGCATCAAAATATCAAAAATCAGAAGTCATAAAAATTAGATAACAAAATTATATATGGAGGAAACTAGAATTCATATATAAGGTAGATAACATAGATGTGGCATGTCTTAAGTACCTCAAAATATTTCATTGATAAAAGACATCATAAAACAGTACTATAAAACATTATTGAATCTCTAACTTCAACATAATCTTCTTTAAAGCTATTTGGCATGAGCGTTTGGTGCAAGCTTGAACATTGCGTTTCTTTCCCATTAGATGGTCTTTGCCTCTTGTTATTCCCCCATTAATCAATTTTGTGCAAAAAAATATAGCGAGTAGAGTTTATATCTCCATTAACTATATGTATATATTTTCATCTAGGGTCACTTCTCTTTGAACCGCCAACCCTAGAGGTTAGGGAGGTTTCTTGATTTTCTGGCATTGTCTAAAACGACACGGTAGAAAAAAAAGAAGAAAAAGAGCACATTAAAGAGATAAATACAACACTAAAAAACAGAGTAGGAGAAAAATAAAAGGAAGAACCAACAAAGTAGAACAAAAAAGAGAGAAGTGTGGGAAGGAATAAAAATGAAAAGAAATAAAAAATAAGAGAGAAAAGAAACTGAAGAAGAAGAGCACCTGATAGTTGTGTAAGAAGATAAGAGAAATAGACGGAGAAGAAAAATCTGTGGAGAAGGAGAGAAGAGAAGAGAGACTGAGGGAGAAGAGTCTGGAGAATGGAAAGGTTGTAGGGTTTTGGTTTTATAAATATTTAATTAGAGTATTTAATGGAGATTATTAGTATATAACCACAGTTATAGTTCTTTTGGGCCTGTTTACTGGTCGGGTAAAAAGGTACCAGAGAAGAATTTTTAAAATTTTTGAAAAAAAACGCAATTTCCGCCATACTGCCATGCACGTTAAACTCGTGGTGGCCGCCATGGCGCCACAATTCAAAATCCGCAACGCCATGGCTTTTCATGGTGCTATGTTGAAAATCCGCAACCGCAATCCGCCATGGTGCCGCCATGGCTGCAATATGACAACACTGTTTGAAATTCTAACCATATTTTTATGTTTGAGTGAGGCAGATCAATGAGTTTTAAGTGTCATGTTCAGTTTGGATGTACGGCATAGAAAAGCTGAGTAAATTATTGATGGAGGGAAATTTAATAAAATCTTTCCATTAATTATTTTTGCGGACCCAAGTCCCGAATCCTTAAACTAATAGGAAGGCATAGATTTTTTGTCTGCAATGAGTTTTAAGTGTCATGTCCAGTTTGGATGTACGGCATAGAAAAGCTGAGTAAATTATTGATGGAGGGAAATTTAAGAAAATCTTTCCATTAATTATTTTTGCGGACCCAAGTCCCGAATCCTTAAACTAATAGGAAGGCATAGATTTTTTGTCTGCAATGAGTTTTAAGTGTCATGTCCAGTTTGGATGTACGGCATAGAAAAGCTGAGTAAATTATTGATGGAGGGAAATTTAATAAAATCTTTCCATTAATTATTTTTGCGGACCCAAGTCCCGAATCCTTAAACTAATAGGAAGGCATAGATTTTTTGTCTGCAATGAGTTTTAAGTGTCATGTCCAGTTTGGATGTACGGCATAGAAAAGCTGAGTAAATTATTGATGGAGGGAAATTTAATAAAATCTTTCCATTAATTATTTTTGCGGACCCAAGTCCCGAATCCTTAAACTAATAGGAAGGCATAGATTTTTTGTCTGCAATGTGGTATATTTTTTGTTATTGATCATTATCGTTCCACTATTTTACGAGGTTAGTTATGCTTATCACACAAGGAGAAATTGAAAATGTGTTTTCCCAACTTGTAAAAATGTTGCACTTATTTCTCTATGAAATGCTTTCTGTGTGTTTAATAGTAAAGAGTAATGCCTAGATTATAATAATTCTTGTTCAGGGAGGACTATTGATCTCTCCTGGAAGTTGAATTTATCTGTGCTTCAGGTAACTGTGTCAGTTTGTCTTGTTTCCCTGAAGTGGTTTTGTTGGAATGTGTAACTTCTCCTCTTTAATATTCTGATTTTGTTAGCATTTTTTTTGCAGTACACGCCTGCGATTGATATATGGAGCATTGGATGCATTTTTGCTGAAGTGCTGACAGGAAAGCCATTGTTTCCTGGTAAAAGTATCGTGCATCAATTAGACTTGATCACTGATCTTCTTGGAACACCACCATCCGAAATTATTGCAGGAGTATGGACCACACTTTTGTTTTATTACATAATCTTAATTCTCACGGGGTTTTTAATGTTGTTTATTTGTGTACAAACTATTCAAATGTTTCACTATTTGATTTAATCAAATTTTGTATAGGTTCGAAATGAGAAGGCAAGGAAGTACTTGATGGATATGCGGAAGAAATTTCCTGTGCCATTTGAACGAAAATTTCCAAATGCTGATCCATTGGCACTTCGCCTATTGCAAAGGCTTTTGGCCTTCGATCCAAAGGATCGGCCGACAGCTCAAGAGGTATGTTTTATCTAGCATGGCATATATTGTGCCCCATCTAGACAGTATCAATTGGTGGCTATTTCAAGATATTTGTATTAGATTTATATATATTTTTCTTCAACATGAATTGGAAAGAATCCATTCTTTGTTTGGTTGGCAGGCACTAGCTGATGCTTTCTTCAAGGGTTTGGCCAAAATTGAGAGAGAGCCTTTGTCTCAGCCAATTTCAAGAATGGAGTTTGAGTTCGAGAGAAGGCGGGTGTCAAAAGATGATATTAAGGAACTGATATATCGGGAAATACTGGAATATCATCCACAGCTGCTTAAAGATTACAAAAATGGAACTGAAGGCATAAGCTTCATGTACCCTAGGTCAGCTTAACAATGGTTAACTTTTTTATTTGCTGATCTTACAGTTGCGTGTTAAATGTAGAACTGCATTCATTGCTTATTATAAACTGTGATATTTTCCTTGCAGTGCAATAGACCAGTTCAGAAAGCAATTTGCTTATCTTGAAGAGAATAATGGTAAATGTGGTCCGGTGATTCCTCCAGCAAGGAAGCATGTCTCCCTTCCGAGGTAAGAATGACATAGGCTTTGCAGTTTTAGTATTCAATTCCCCGTTATATCTTGTTGGTTTGCGTGTTGAGTTTGGTTGCTTTTTTAAAACTTAATATTCAGATGGTTATGTCATATAATCATATCTTTTTTTTTTTTGTTTTTTTGGAAGGTCCACTGTTCTCTCTAGTACAATTCCTCCCAGTAAGCAACCATCTTTTGCTCCATACGCCAACAAGCATATTGCACAAGAGGCATTCAAAATTTCTAGAGCTGCAGAATCTAATTCTTTAAGTCAATCAAAGGGTTTGCGGCCTCCTCCAAGAGCGCCCGCAGGTATGAAGTGTGTTTCTTTTCATGAATTATTTCCACCTCTACTTCAATCTTATTATTAACCCATTTTTCTTTCCTCAACTCAGCCAAACCAGGTAGAAGTATAGGGCCAGTTCACTGTGACAATGGAGTTCACTGTGACAATGGGAGAAGCACAAAAGATAATTATGATGCAAGAATCTTCTACCAAAATACTATTCCTCAATCAATCTCCCCACACCCTTTCCAAAGGGTTGTTCACGCACAACAAAATTACAAGGATAATTCACAAGGCAAACATCAACCCTCACCACAGATGCGTAGCGTGCCAGCCAGACCAGCTATCGATCTTAATACCAATCCGTATCACCATCGGCAGGCAAAGAATGATCTGTTAAACGATCCTGTCACTGTTATTGATGCTAAATTGTTGCAAGCACAATCTCAATTTGGTGCAGCTGGTGCTGCAGCAGTCGCTGTTGCTGCTCACGGGCATTCTGCAGGCTTTTAGTATGGAGTGTATTAAATTGGGAGCTCTCAAAGAGAGATTTGCCACAAATGGTGTGTCAAGTTAGGAAGCTAAATTTTAGTTGGGTTTAGTTTTTGTTTTCTACGTCTGCTTTCATCATTGTAATTATATGTACATCATTTAATTGATTAATAAAAATATTGATTGTTCCTCTCCCTCTTTTGATGAATAAATTATCACAAGTTAAAAAGGAGAAACATGAAATTGCAAATAAATTCTATTCGGACGCTGTTTGGTTTTAAACTGATAAATATGAGATCAAATCTCAAGCTAAAAGGCTGCAACATGGCTAAGTAGAACGTGTAAATTGTTTATCTTGAAATTTCATTAGCATTTTATTTTGGGAATGATACTATCAAAGTTGCCAACTGTCCATTATTTCAGTCCCCAAAGTCAATTGATGGCCAGTGTCTCTCGACAAGTTTAGTACCTGGATCCTGCAATAAGTATATCTATCCCTGACTCAATGATCATTTCCAAAATTGATAGAAGAGCTTAAAATTGAAGTTTTTAAAACTTGGAATCATAGAAGTTTTCAAGAATAACTCAAGGAACATGAGAACTTGCCTGATAAAAATAGAGTGATTGAGAAAGCCTTCAAACATGAAGCTCCCAAGTTCTTGGATCACCAATCCGACCTTCACCTTTTTTTGTTGGATACCTATACTCACCCCATATCATGTGGCAAAATTCGAAGTATCTCTTGAGGTTGCGGGTTGCTATACGGATCAGATGGTATCACCTGTTTCTCCAAGTGCATTGCATTTCGGGTTCCATTTGAGAAGGTATGATATCATCTCCATTGCATGGATTTCCATTGTTCTTCCAACAACATTCCATGTCCACGAGGTAGAATTGGCTCTTTGGACCCCCCTCTCATCTTGAAATCAAGAATAAGGAACTATAGAGAGAAAACTTATGAACTATTCGTTTGACACAAATAATAATTAAAATATATAAATTAAATGTAATCATAAATATCAGTGTCGATTTCTGATTCGTACACAGACACTGACACATATTTTTTTAGAAGTGTCGGTGTTAAAAAAAAAAAAACACAATTTTGGACATGCCTCTTGATTCATAATGGTAACCACCAGAGAATCCTGTTGTAAAATCTGATATCAGATAGAGCATTAACCAATGATATGTAGAAGAAGTCTTCAACACTTGATGAAAAATCCAGCTTCCTTCACCAACTATCTTCTCCCAAGTCACAGAATAATAAGAATTACTTGCACGATTAGCACTCAAGTCCCATGAATCATAGAAGCTTCCACTCATGATCATCCTCTTCTTTTCTTTACCATTCACTTTTAAATAATTGTGATACATTGAAGGCATATTCATACACCCTTTTCCGAAACAAGGAAACTACTGTGTTTGTGGGAATGGCTTTACTTTGAAGCCATTTTTGGGACAAACTGCTTCTAATGTATCCATGTTTCCACTTTTGAGCATTATCATTCAGAATTGCCATGGTCATGGAGTATCTAAAAACCACACATTTTCTCTCGTAGCATAACTCCTTCTATGGGGACGAGGGTAGTCCATTACATCCGTATATCTATAAATTTTAAAAAAATTATATTAATTTTATTGAGTTACTCTAAAATAATACATTGATTTTTTTTCATTCATTAAATTTTGTCTCTATTCTATTCACTCTTTCTTTTTTAAATGTTATACATTAATATAATCAACATATTTTCTTCGTATTCTATTAGTTTCTCTTATGCTAAATGTCTGATTATTATTATCTACAATTTAGATATGTATCGTATTTAAAAACACATTATATTATTTATAAAAGATGATATAGTAATTAAAAATGTATTATGTTAAAAATAATTAATTTTTTATTTTATTTATAATAAATATTATAGATTTTTAATTTTCAATTTTTTATTAAAAAAAATCCGTTTAGGATCGGGTAGTTCGAAGCCCATCTAGGGCCTGACTCGGATAGTAATTTTAAGGTCCATATTACAATAGGTTTTTTTGGTCCAGCCCTAGAAAGCTTAGGCCTGTCAGGGCCGACCCGTTTAGGACTGAGTTGCCCATTTTGCCAGCTTTAATTACCTTACTCTTAGGCCTAATTATGATGCATTAAATGCCGCGATGCGTGGCTCGAGGGACATATCCTCTGTCTCTTCAAATCCCATCGACCTTCCGGTTTCCAAGACGCCGAGAACCCCTTGTCGGGCACCAATGACAAACTCGCATTCTCTCACGAGCACGTCCTCAGAGGAAAACTTAAGGAAAAATTTTACGAGCAACATGATGACTTGCGAGCAAAGTCAAATGCTCAACACAAGCAAAAGCTAAACTGTCGACCACAATCCCAACATGGCACATCGTCCTCGTAAGCGAAATCCAATGAGTTGCGAGCAAAATATTATTCCCGTGCGCACTAGCTCACAAACAAGAAACATCCATGACGAACGTCGTAAATGCAAGCTCGCAACCACGAGCCCAAATGAAGGTTCACTTCGCGCAGAGTCCCATGCTCTTCCTCGACACACAGGCTGACTCTAAGTCATTACTCCTTTGTCTAGGAACAACGACTTGTAGGACTTCTATTCTGGACTGAACCTGCAGCTGGCCCACCGTTAGACATGGTCCACTCCAACTCTATGTCTAGGACGGGCAAGTTCGTCCACTTCTCGGGGATTTAGGTGCGGTTGACCAGGACGATAAGCATGTGCCGCTCATCCCCACTTTCACGTGAGAATCATGGAAGTCATCCATGATGGGCCTGGATACTCCGCCCATAAGAGAGACTGTTGGCCCAATATTAGGGGCTCACTATAAATACCATCCTCTGCGGGAGGGTCAAGTATTCAACTCTTTACCCTTTCTTACTCACCTGTCATCTGAAATGACTTTAGCATCAAAATGTTTGTAGATACACCCCCTCATCTGTTGATCGTTAAAGCTTCCGGATGCGTCACCATCCACTCATATATTTTCTGATCACCGATAAGATCAAATATTCATATATTTTTTTTTGTTTTCAAACGATTCAATATGAACATCAAATCAGAGCTTCTAAAAATCAAAAGATTATGTAAGAATATTAATAATAGATATTTTAAAAACAATTCTTTTATATTAATATTCATATAGGATCTTTTGAAAACAAAATTTTGGGAAAAATATATTTCTACGAGATCTTTTAAATTTTTAAACATTGATATTTTTTTATTTTTTATTTTTTAAATCTTATACTCTTTTTTTAAAGATTCTATATGAATGTTAATTAAAAAAAGTTGATTTTTTCACTTTTTTTTAATGACAATTATAAATATATTAATAGCAAAAGAATATCAAGTTACATAAATATAACACAAAGCATAAGACATGTTCAGAAACAAGATAAAAAGCAAGAAACACGATAAAAAATAACAAGAAGCTTCAAACTTGGGGAGACACCCATAATTAAAACTATAATTGCTACAATGCCACCTTACTACTCTCTGTCTAGAGCTCAAATCAACTAGATCCATTATCAACAAATCATATTTCATCAAAAGAAAAAAAGAAGATTAGCCACCACTCAATGAATTAGAGCAAACACTTAATCTGCTATAGGTGTAGGTAAATGATAAGGTTCTAAAATTAATATGTGAAGGAACAAGAGTTCTCTCCTGACCTACTCAAAAATCAATTCCAAGCCAAAAATTACTCTTCTCCTCAATTTATTTAGATGCTTTTATGATTCGTTAAAGATAACAGCATTTCGAAATTTTCAAATAAACCAAATTACAAGATACCAAATCATAAGGTAACCACCCCTACTTCCTAAAAAAAGAAAATACTCAAAAAGTAGTCTAAGATCTTGGTGAGTAACTTCCTGCTACCTAATCACCTAAAAACTATATACCACATCGACGAGGCAGTCTCACAAGTAATAAAAAGGTGAGAAATAACCTCACTAAAAAACTCGCAAAAGGACAAGAAAGCCTACTAGACTCCGATGACACCCCTATTCTAAACAAATTTACTCCAGAGGGGAATATATGCTGTAATAACTGCCAGGAAAAACCAATATATTAGACGAAGCCCAGCTACTCCAAATAAAGGAGAATATATGACTTTAAAACTAAAGCGGTGTCATAAAAGAAGTCAAACTGCCCCTCTGGATAAGATAAATAGGAGCCACTGAAAAAGTATTTTCACTAGAATGATTATCAACTAATCATTGCCTAAGATAAGGATAACATCTCTAAGCAAGACATGAAACTCCTCAAGAATGAGCATCTCTCTAAGGAAGAAAGATCTCATCCATCTAAAGTCCCATGTATTGACCCTATTGATAACCTCCCCTATCTCACCTACTAACTCTACTTGCTGGAGATAATTAGAGAACAAATCATGATACTAATTTAAGGGGGGTGTTCCCTAACCAAGGATCCTCTCAATAGGAAGTCTTAAGACTTGAACCTACTTTCCTAGCATGCCATCAGAAAATCAATCTGAGTTACATTCCTCTTTTGTCTCAAGGAAAGACCTCTCTTTCCACTAGGACGAAGAAAAACGAAAAATCCATAGCCCTACCTCCACTATAAGAGGTGATAGAGATATCTCCATATCTAGATGTCATAATATCCCTCAATAGCCTTAAATCCCCTACAATCAACCTCCATCTCCATTTTTCCAGAATAGCAAAATTAGCCAGCTGAAGATCCCTCACTTCTAACCCCTTCTAATTTTAGGCTTACATACACCATCCTAATTTACCCAGGAAATCTTTGATACATTCTTCACCCCTCAAAATAATATTATTTGTAAAGGCACAATATTTTTCCAAACCCTATCATAAATTTTTAAAAATGACAAGAAGAAGATAGGAATAACATTAAGCACTGAATTAAGTAGAACTATCTACCCCTAGACTCTCTCTCTCCCTCTCTCTCTCTCTCTCTCTCTCTCTCTCTCTCTCTCTCACACACACACACACACACACACACACACACACACACACATACACACACACACACACACACACACACACACACACACACACACACACACACACACACACACACACACACACACACACACACACACACACACACATATATATATATATATATATATATATATATATATATATATATATATATATATATATATATATATATATATATATATATATATATATATATATATATATACTTCTAAGAGTTGAGTCTTTTACCCAAAAAAGCAACCAAAGTATCCAAAGTAGGCTAAGGACGAGAATTGAGCCCCACTGGCAGGCCAAGGCACTTAAAAGGAAGAAAAGCTATCTCACAATGGAGAATGTCCATGTCTGAAATAAGAAAGACACGATCTAAACTAACCCCAATAAGACTACTCTTGAAGAAGTTAACACGAAGACCATAAGCCCTCTTAAAACCTCTAAGAATAACCTTAATACACCAAAAATTCTTTCAGGATAGATCAAACACCATAAGAGTGTCATCCACACACTGAAGGTGAGACACTACCAACTCGGAATTCCCAATTCTAAACCCAGAGTAAAGGCCAAAATCTTGAGCCCTCACAACCAGACCACTAAGCCCCTCAACAATCAGGAGAAAAATAATCGAGCTAGGGGGTCACCTTGTTTCAAACCCATATGAATGATAATTTATTGGATAGGGCACCCATTCATGATCACCACAAGGTTCCTATCAAAGACACATACTTTCTTCCAAGATCTCCATTTCTTACTAAACCCAAATTTGATCAACATATAATTCAGGAAATTCTAACTAACTGAATCATATGCTTTCTCAAAATCCACCTTAACAATAAGGCAAGGTATTTTAGATCTTTTGGACAAGTCAACCACGTCATTAATAAACACAACACCATCCACCAATATTCTCCCCTTAAGAAAATATGATTGGTTAGGATATATGAGCTTCTTCGTCGTAAATTCTAGTCTAATGGCCAACACTTTCGCCACCAGCTTATACATGGGATCCAACCAAGGAAATGTTAGACGATAAGACGTATCTAGAAGGGGGGGGGAGGGTGAATAGATACCGTGATTCTTAAAAAGAGTTTTTAATGAAAACTTAAAATGCAGTGAAAGCTACCCAGATACACTCGTCTAAAAATGATCCTCTATTGAAAAGACCAGATATGCGTAAAACCGAATGGAATGAATCAATGAGAATTGTTAACACTTAATTCAATTATAATAGATCACTTATACTTTTTAACTATAGTCAATTACTCCCAATTAATTGTTGATTATAAAACCCACAAATTTACACTTTTGGACTTTTATCGAA